ATAAACGCGCCCACCACAAAAAAGGCGGGCCGACCGTGCCAAATCTATTTGTACCACTCTTTAGGTACATGTACGTTGGCAATTACGCATCACACATTAAGAGCCTTGGAATCTACCTTGTAGGAAGTTACCTACCTCCTAACACTACAAGAAATCGGCAAGAGTTATCTACCTGAAAATACCTATAATAGGTATTTTACAACAAAAGGAAAGGGAAGGGAAACCTAAAAGATATAATAGCTGCTCGGCTTCCTTTCCTGAACATATATTTCTACCTAGGTTTCCAGTTTTTAATCTTTCACCTTTTCTTTCGCAGCTTGCAAAAACCAAACTCGACTTCTTAAAGGTTTCTCTTACTCTTATTATTCCTATTAATGTGCATCTTGTCAAAATTCAAATTTCCATGTCCATCTTTTTACCCATTTATCAATCTTCCCACTAAATAGGTACCTATCTACCTACCTAGGTACCCAGCCCAGCCCAGCCCAGCCGGACCGGGGTTGCATTCTTTTTTTTTTTTTTTTCCTTAGGGGTGTGCTGGCTGCATACATATTTCCCATCACTGTACGTACCTAACCTTGAACCCGTACCGACTGAACCGTACCGGTATGTGCCTAGGTGCTTAAGTGTAATGCTGTTGCATTTTTCCCATCCATTTTCGCCATTTGGTCCATGTTTAGTCCATCTCTGCCTGTCCATCTTACATGTACATACCTACATGTACATACCTACCTCCTACATGTAATATACCCCTCTTTTTGGCCCCCTAATAACCTGCTGTTCTGTACTTAGTCCCGTTTATCTTTTTTTCCTTTTACATCCTCTCACGGGTGTACCGAAGAATCGCTGCGTCTGATCCCTTTCCCTGGTTCGTCGCTCCAAGCAAGGAAAGGGGCCAGCCGCGCTTTTATTTTCGTCATCCCCGTCCCCCGACTTCACCCAACGCGGCTCTTTTATATCTGATTGTTTCTTAAGCGGCTACCTACATACATATCTACATACATATATACCTCGACTTAAGGTATCCGCTTGAATCTGCTTTGACCTTATCTTCCGTCAACACGCCAACAAGCCAACAAGTCAACATCCAGAAGCAATACATAAAACATTTTCCATCCGCCGCTTGGATGACGATACCTTCACCACTACACACCAGCTAAACCCATCCCGGCCGCTGCTTTGTTGTTTGTCGCTTTTAGTGATAGACACGAGCTGACGGGCTGACGGATTTTGCTCTACTGATATCAATTCCCGACCTTAGCGCCTCTGATGCGCTTTTCATGAAATCCGGAGCTTAAGGCTAGCTTGGAGCTGAAGCTGAAGCTGTGGCTAAAATCGAAAAACATGCCTCCTCCGAGACAAGGCCGTTATCAACCAGCGTTCGTCTCCTTTGTTGACTCAAATTCTCAAATTATTCGTGTCATTTATGGTCCAAGTAACTAACGTTCCCATTCTGCGAGTAGCCGGGAATTTCACGTTGTTGTGCTAGGTGCAGGTAAGGGTTTTTTTTTTCTTCATTGCTCTTCTCTCATCCCCAGTTGAGATGTATGATCAACTTTTTTTTTTTTTTTTTTTTTTTTTTTTTTTTTAATCGAGGTCTACTCCATGTTGAACCTTTTTTCCCCCCTTGCTTATGCGTAACCGCCGCTAACTTCTGCTAGGCGGTGTCGGGAAGAGTTGTCTTACAGGTAATCATCCTTCCTAGCTGCAACTGATTCCGATTGGATCATCTTGAATTGAAACGAAACGCGATCTGTTTACGCCTCGTGCGTCATTCTCTACGCTAAGAGCCTAATTGCTAATGGGCTTTATTTTATTTTATGATAGCTCAATTTGTCCACAACGAATGGATTGAGAGTTATGACCCGACCATCGAAGACTCGTATCGAACCCAGGTGGCCGTCGATGTAAGTGTAACTTTACCCATTCTCTAATCCGTCGGTTTGGGCGTCAACATCTGCTGACACATTCGGACCAGGGTCGTCAGGTAGTTCTGGAGATGTAAGACAATGCCAACTACAAACATGACCCACCATTATTTTCTTGCTGCCGCTCTGGCACATACTAACTAGAGATAGTCTGGATACTGCAGGCACTGAACAGTTCGGTTGGTCACATTACTAAATACACCATTTATTCGTAACTTAGGTATGCTAACTCGGCCCCAGTTGCTATGCGGGATCTGTACATGAAGACTGGTCAAGGGTTTTTACTAGTCTATAGCATCACTTCAAGTTCGTCATTAACCGAGCTGGCGGGGCTTCGTGATGAGATCATCCGTATCAAAGACGACGAGACCGTGCCAATTGTTATCTGTGGAAACAAAGCCGATCTAGAAGACCAGCGGTCCGTGCCACGCACCAAAGGCTTCCAAATCTCGGAGAGATGGGGTGCGCCATACTATGAAGCTAGTGCTCGGACGAAGAGTAAGTGCATTTACCCACAGTTCTTTCGCATGCATTCACTCCTACCCATACTTGGAGCTCCATGGTTATAGAATGGCCAGACTAATACTTCAAAGCAAACGTTGACGAAGTATTCATCGATCTATGTCGACAAATGCTACGAAAATATGATGCCGCGGAGCCCTGCGTCGAAGATCAAGATGACAAGTTCGATCCGTACTCCATATCCTACTATAAAAGGCGAAGGCGGAGAAAAGACGGGGAGCGAGGCTCAAGCCATCGACCTAAATGTGTTATTCTATAATTCCTCCAATAGCTTTCACCCAAGAGCTTATGAGGGATGTGGGTGAAAGCTTGCATGAGGATTCAGTTTCACGGGGCGTGCGACAACTAGTCGTCAGGACGTCTTTTCGGATTATAGAATAGCTACTGGTTTAGGTGCGAATACTCTATACTATGGAAATCTAGGCGCTTGCAACGGTTACCTAAAACGAGGACGACGAGGCTCTCTAATGGGTTTGAGAGGTTTCTCATAGAGACTTGTTAGTTTCATATTTTGTCGCTATTTTGCAGCGCTTCTTCGGACCGACATTTGATCGGTTTTCGCTTCGACGATTTCGGCGGCGAAGATCCTTTCGCATTCTGGAGCGAACGTTCAGGGTTATGGGCAGGCTTGCATGTTCATCGTATTGCATGGGGAGGGCATAGTATGCATACATCACGGATCAGCAGACGAACGATAGCGTTCCAACCTCGGATATGGGGCCTACATAGACATGTAGGCTCCCCGAGTTATCATGCCGACCGTTTATTTTCTGCTTTCGGGACATTTGGGTTTCGATGTGGAGCTTTTATCTTGTCTTTTGTTTTCTTGTTGAAGATCCGGACTGCGCAGGCAACCTACATATTTGATAATCCATTTACGATACTACAGCACCTACATTTACCTAACTCGCCACAGAGAAACAGGCATTTCCACCCCAGAATATATATACCCACTCTGCCGCCGAAATACTCGATACCCCTCTTTTGAATTGGGAAGTGATTGAAGTGATGTGATCATTCATGTGATTTTATATGCTAGCTAGGTAGCTTAGGGATTCGGATTCGGGGATTTAAGAGCGCATTGCTCGGCAGTTGACCGACTTGTTGGAAGGAAGCCCTCGAATATGTACACCCTTCCCCAGACGATCTCAACTCGTATAACGGGTTGAGCTTGTACGAAAATAGGTCGAGGTAACATCCGAGGCGATGCCTCCACATGGAAGGGTCCAAGGTAGATCTTGTTGCTTGGACCACCTGACTCGTGCTCATCACACCTAGGTGGGCTATTTCGGCTCACCTGAGAGCCACGACTGTCAAAACTACGGAATGCGCTACTACATATATGTATGTATATCTATTTTGCCCCTGCCTTGCAGTACTAGATCAACCGGTAGAGTATCTATCGTATCGTCTCGTGCGCGCTTCCTTCTCAAAAGAAGCAAGTAGTGGCCAGAATAGGAAAGGGAGACGTCCGGAAGAGGTTGGGCGGCGGGGTGGGATGCAATCTACGGCCAAGTTTGGTCCGCTAGCACCAATGTGGGCGGGTGAGGCTTAACACCAAAACGGCACATGCGCGTCGCTTGAAATGTGAGAAGTCGACCGTCTCGGTCTGCTCTTGTTATACCGGGGTGATGGCTCCTTTGCGCATACATACTGTGCCCGCGACTGGCGGAGGGATGAGATGAGATGGCATAGGTGGTTCGTCGTCCGAGGGCTCCGTTGATCCGGTTCGGCAGGATCTAGCTGTATACGTTATACGTGTGTATTCGTTTATGTATGTATATGCGCGGCTGGATGTCACGAGGCTGGCTGACTGGCTGACTGGTTGTTTTCTTCGGGATGCAGGTATATATGTGGATGTTGGTTACGCATGATGGAGAGAGGGGCTATATTTACGACATCCCTCGCTTAGAATATCGTCTAGCACTTGTCTAGCATCAATGCCCAACGATGCTGTGTCTTGTTCTTAACTAGGTACCTAGTATATACACACATATGTGGATTGCAGAGAGTGATCCGCCGTGTGACATGGACTTATGTAGACGACAGGGTCACGAGTTGTAGATTCGTATAAATGATAGAAGCACGGTCAGCGTGTCTCAAATGGTTAGAATACTAATATAACAGGAAAATTGAAGGATAGCAGTGGCCTCGAAGATCAATAGATGGGATATTTTCCATCTGTCTAGGTGCATTCTTCGTCGAATATATGCGTTACGGAAATCTTTTCTGTACTTTCTAATAGAAAATAAGTATCACGTATGTCGAGATTATGGAAGCTAGAACACGGACGTAGACTAGCGTAAACATAGTTACCTACTTATGTATATCACCGATGCTTTGTGGTCCACGACTCGATCCTCCGCTTCTGGGAACTATGTAGATAACTAAAATGAGATTGTAGTAGCCACTATCCCTAACCATCCCAAGATTAGTTCAAGAAATGTCAAAGTAACATCAAACTATTAGCGCTAGGCGCTAAATTATCAATAGTCTCTTGCTACGACTAGCGCTCCACGTGGTATATGCCGAGGTAGGTAAGTAATAGGAGATCTTGATGCTAACCGCCAACCTGGCTGCTGGAGATAATCACCTTGATACATTACTGTGGTATTGAGGCTTAAAGTATTATGACACTATCCCAACTCATGTGATTCAGAGTGACATTGGCTATCGTTAACTCGTCCAACTACCTACCTAGGTACCTAGATTAACATAAGCTGGTGCGCCATACGGCACCCTTGGGTAAACTAACTCTCCTCGTAGACTGGAGTTGTCAAGACTCTTTAATTGCGTAAAGAACTACTCTCTGTTGGCCCAATTATTAACCCATAACCTCTCGGCATGACCCTCGGCTCTAATAAGTAATAGTTAAGTTGAGGTACTGTAAGCTTCGTAACATGCTAGCTTGGAATTCATGGTATATTGGAACGAGACAGTTTCTTAATAAACACTAGATTAAGAGCCAGCGAGGATATTATCTATCTTCGCGTCCTTTCTTTGACTATTAAACTTTTCCAAGTGTTAGATAACCGAGTCGAGCAGACGCTGTATCGATCAAACGAGTCTAAGGGTAATGTTTGCGTAGACTAACTTCTCATCCATATATAAAGCCCAGGCCGAGGCCGACATCTGCCTGAATCCGAGTTGTGTATATGGAATGTAAGCTTTCAATGCAGTCAAGTTTTCTACTGGTGTTGCCGTGCTATCCAGTCCATAGGGTAATATTCACAGATGCATAGCCCAGTCTTGCTGATGAAATCGAAAAGGAACATTGGAACTAGCCCTTTAAGAACCAGTAGATTTAACTTCGATGTATCGCTGTAAGGTCTTTTTCTGGAGGGCACGTTGCTCGTTAATAACCTCCCATAACTCTTCATTTTCCTTCCTCAGCTCTTGATCCCCAACAGTGTCCTCGGCTGGTGTCTGGAAGGCGAGGATGGCTTGTTCCAAGACGTCATGCGGGAGTCCGCTAGATTTAAGCATCCTGCTGAACTTCGTATCTTCTGAAATATCAGAATCTAACTGGGAGGTAAAGTTATAACTGCGGCTTCCCAGGAACGGCTTCACGACAGCAACTGGCTTGGTAGGCCGCGAGGTCGGAAGTGGAGAGACAAAGACTATGTTTGTGACAGAAGCGTTGAGGTTTGTTAGCTCTGTGGAGTCGGCACGGCTGCTCAAGTCCCACCGTAGAATCTGGCCTTGCGGGTGGCCTGTTATTAAAGTCGTACCATCGTAGCTCAAGGCCATGCACGATGCCGCTCCCGCCTCCTGAGGCGTAGCGCCAAAGGCCGAGGAAACTTGAACGGCCGTAGAGCTGTCTTCTATACTCTGAGGACCCAGCAGAGCTTTATCGGCAAATAAGTCAATTGCATACAGCGAGCCGTCATCGGAAGAAACATAGATAGCTCGTGCACACGGATCGAGGGATACGCAAAGTGGCGAGCTCGGGAATAGCAATGTTCGCAGAGCTACACCGTGCTGGTAATTCCAGATGACACAAGACTTGTCCTTGCTTGCTGAGACGCAGATGTTAGTATCCGGATTTACGCTTGAACCGATAGCAAGAGACGTGATAGCGGCTCTGTGATTCGATAGCGTCTCTTGAGGTTCGTGTTCGATGGTCGAGTCTAGTTCTAGCAAGCGGGGGATAGACCAGACATTGATGTTCGAGTCCTCAGACCCGGTGAGAAGGTGGTAGGGTGTAACAGCGATACATGTAATTGCTTGAACATGGCAAGCAGACGTAGTTACTTGTCTACCGGTGCAGACCTCCCATATGATAAGCCTGCCCTCTTGCGAGCCCAAATAGAGCACATCGTCTTGCAGCGCGATGCTTCGGATGCGCTCCGGGAAAGTAACCAAGGCCTCTTGATTGCCTTTGGCCCTCGAGTAGACGTGTACCGTTGATTTCTCCTCCTGGGCTGTAAATACGTGCGTATCGCTCACAGCCAGACAATGACGGGGGGCAGAGCTTTTCTTAAAGGTACTTGTCGTCGAATGGCTGGGGTGGAGTGTATGCTCATAAATCCCGGCATCTTTTGAGATGGTGGTGTTGTTAGATAATGGCTGTCCAGCCACGGACACGAAGTAACTTTCTGTCAACATTGGTCCCTGTTCATCTGGACTCGTGATGATCTATGTAAGTAGGTAGATTTGTAATTTATTGTGGAATGGTTGAACTAAACACAATATCCTCTACTAGTGTGTAAGTAGCAGGTAGCTACCTCGGATATTTTTAGGATTGGTCCGATTAAGTATGTCGATCCTGTGGTATTCTACTTGTCCGAAGATTGTGTAAATGACTGGCTGTTGTACGTTTTGATGCTGTTTGATATTTGATGTTCGATGATGTTAGTGAAGCTATTTTTTTTCTTTTCCCTTTTCCCCCACAATTTTCCATTGGTGGTGGTGGTTCATCGTTCATGGCCCCACCAACATGCAGACATTATGCAGGTCGTTTGTGGCTGTCGGTGGGACCGGCAATGCGGCGTTTCGTTAGCCTCAGAGCTTGGCGTAAATGGTACGTACCTTCTATTGTCCAAGTTTGGGAATCTAGAATCTGGAGCATTTCACCATGTCGATAATTTAGATCCCTACCTACCTTATGTAAATGAGTAAAATACAAGCTTCACATAATCTGTATAAGGTAATTCATGTTTTCGTCTTGTTACCCTATTTCGACTAGGCTTCAAATAACATCCGGACTATATATTCCTATTCCAGATTTTCTCCTCTTTGGTTCCTTCGCCCGCAACTTCATGCACGATGCGCAGCCTGACCGAATGGGTGATTGCATAAGTTAGGCCGTTAAAGAGCGACGTGGTCTCGTACATGAGAAATGGGAAGATTTTAACGGCGGCTACATACGTGCATCGTCTCCAATCGATTCCATCTTTTTGCCCGATGGTTCATCATGTTGCTATCCTCCCGCTCGTTTATATTTTCGACAATGGCCTTGTTCATCGAAGGTGGTAATCCCTTGGCTATTATGTATATGTAGACATGCGGGTAGCCAAGACGAACCAAACTGAACCAAACTGAACCAACTAAATCCTGCAACTGACGATAGTGCTGCAGCATGTCTGAGCTTCTCCCATAACTGACCAATCCGACTTCGAGGCTTCCCTCAGCTTCGAGAACCAGGTGGAACCTCGATCCTCCGTAGGCGTTCTGCATACGAATGGGGTAGAAGCAGCTTCACGGGCAACGTGGTCGCCCATCTGTCGTGTCGCTTGCCAGATGCAACGAGATCAGGTATCATCATTCGACCGAATAGACTTCTTATTCTAGATGCAGGGGGTAGTCACTTGAGAGAAGATAAAACCAGTTGCTTACCTAGGTAAATACCTAGCTGTCAGGTAGGCAAGCAATATTACTTCATGCTAAGTTTACTGACGGGTCAGCTACCTGTTAGACACAACGTACACGTCGTACACGTACACTAGGGTACGGAAGTAGGTGTTGCTCTGGCCTCGGAGCTTTCTTCGATCAGTCTTTTCCTCCATCTGACAATTGAATAGCTAATCTTGCGCCATGATCAACTTTCTCCAACCAAGGGTCCCAAGTCTGGTCGGCAAGCCATGCTGCCCATGTCTCGTCAGAGAAACCTCCGCATTAGGAAAAAAAAAAAGAATATGGTGTAATGCGGTCACGTACGAAGTAATCGATTGGTTAGTTGGACGTGAATAATTTCCAAAAACGATAGCAGCGTTGCATCGTAGTAACTTGGCGAATGGATTTCTGGACCTCTCAATTAAATTGACTGATTGGTTTCTGTTAAGACGCTATTATGGTCAATACTACCCTAGAAAGCGATCCCTTGGCGAGAAGATCGGACGGTCAAGTCGAAAACCCTCCAAGTTTTCAGCGTGTAAGAAAAAGCAAGGATTTAGATATCTTCCTGGATATTTTCTAGGATATTTCTATATAACAGGTAGGTACCTATGTATCTAGGCACCTAGTTACCTATACTATGTGTAGGAATGTCTTAATTGAAATGTTTGCTATTTGATTTACTGTAACTCGGGGAGTGGCTATTTGTGTAAGTTATTACGGCATTAGCATTGCGAGAAAAAGAATTAAGAGTTTTTTTTTCTCTCTTTTTTATTTATTTTATCGTTGTTGATAATTATTAAGATAATTGTTAAGACGAACTATTCCGTACTTAAGATGATGAGCTCAGGCCCCACTTTAGTTTCCGTTCTCCTTTAGGCTCTGCGACCCCCTCTGCGACCCCCTCTGCGGCCCTTCCCCTTCTCAAAAAGACCCCTGGCTTGTCCTTGTCCGGGGGTCCATGGTTCATGGTTCATGGTTCATGGTTCATGGTTCATGGTTCATGGTTCATGGTTTATTCATCTCTGTCGAATTACGAAAACCAACCCACGTACGAACACAGCTCCATCCTTCACTAAATGAACCCCTGTCCACCGCTCAACTCTTCCCTAGCCTCTAGTAGCCTCTAGGTCTTCAAATCCGTGTGGATTTCCAACCCAGCTTGAGCTTTAGCTTTAGCTTTTTTCGCACGATTGTTTTTGTTGATTTCCAGCTCCTTCGGATTTGTTCTCAACATCGTTTAATCAATTCTGTTTACTTTTGCAACTCTACTAACAAATAACAAAGCATAATACACCGACTACCACGAATTAAAACTACGAATTAAAACTAGTCGGAGTTGGGAAATCAACTATTTTCAATACTTATTGTTTCGTATGAAAAGAAACTCCTAACCTAGGATTTTATTTACCGGCTTACACTCCCCTGCAACGCCACCGACCGATTAACTTGGACGCACGAACGAACGTCACGATGGGGAGCTTTGAACCCCTCATGGACTTCAATCTGCCGGAGCTCCTGGTTGGGGATTTGGAAGATTCGAAAGATATTTTCAAGTCGAGGCAATTGACTGCTGGTGCGCCAGCTCCATCATTAGCTGGTGACGGATCTAAGAGACGATATTCGCTACAGGACAGTTCGTTAAGCGCTGTTAATTCGTCTAATCTCCTAGACACAATGTGGAAGGCCAAGTCAATGCAGAATGTGAATGAGACGCAATCTCATTTCTTTACCGTCCGCGGCGAGTCACACCGGAATAGCAGCGATTCCGATTCAGCCAGTAGTGAATCATCTGGTGGATTGATGCCTCCATCAATCGGCACACGGGACGCATCCATCGCCACGACAGCCACGTCGGTTACTTCTGAGAGGTTGGAGCCACCAAATCAATTGAAATTAAAGCTTGTAATACAAGAGAAAAAACAAGCCGGTCAAAGCTGGATGGACCTGGATGCCGAGGATCCAACTTCTCCGGATCGAAGATACAGTATGATTAACATCGCGTCACCTGCTCAGTACCTGTCACTACGGCATGACCTAGATGATGAATCAAGGACTATGTCTTTAAACTCGGCTGTGCTGCGTCCCAACTTGACTAGCTCTCCTCCAACTTCGCCAAAAGTCTCGTCAAAATCCTCAAAATCTTCAAAATCGTCACCAAAAGCATCCCCGAAAATGTCGCCAAGTAGTGTCAAATCTTCGGGTGCTAGCGAACAACGAAACCGTATTAGATCGCCTTTGGCATGTCCTACTCCACCCCCAGAGCGACGATCTTCTTTGATGCACCGAAATTACCCTGTGCTTCCCAAGATCAACGTCTCGCCCTCTCTACAAGCCTTGTCGAGTCAACCTTTGCCAACACAGCATGAAGACGAGACATCATCTCCAGATCGCAATATGCCCTTATTAGCCCCACTCCGACCGTCTCGTAAGAAGGCGGATGATGTTAGCAATGGGCGTAATGCTAGTAAGACCAGCTTGCACTTGCCAGAGGCGGACATCGAAAGGGATGAACCCGAACGATACTCGCACGCGGAGAGTACTGAATATCCAGAAATTGCCGCGGCTGGGATCGATGTTGAATCCTGGTTAGAGTCTAGCGTTGACAACTTTCCCTACTACGCTCAGAATAGAGCTGATGGTGGGCATATGCCCCTACCGCTTCCGCCAGATGTTATTGATACCCTTCGAATATCAATAACATGCTTCCCGGAAACGATGCTCCAGTGTTCTAGCCTCTCGATCGAGACCATACGCGGCCACTCTAGGAAATTAAGGTATAAGTCCTCCAGTCCTGCAAGTCTATATTCGGAATCGCCCGTTTCAGTAGACTCGTCAGACCAGTCAAAGCAGACGAAATGGAAGTGGTTACCACCACTCTTGAGACAGCAGTCATCTCCTACGGAGACGCCAACCAGCCCGCAGCGAATCGGGTTTGGGGAAAGTCTGGAACCAAGGTATAGTCCGGTATGGCCCAAGAAACCGGACTGGACCACAATCCAAAACCTCTTCCCCTCCGGATCTGATTACCTCTGTGACGCCCTCTACGCTCACCTCGTAGCGTACAACTACATCACTTCGCTATGCCCCCGATCAGTGCTAATCAATCCTACTACTTCGAGACCTACTTCGAGACCTACTTCGAAATCCTCAACAACACCCTCAGAAATCAGTCTCGGTCTTTCGGTTGACCTCCGTGCTTCGGTAGACATACGCGCCTCTACGGACGGAGGCGCAATCCCACGGAAAGCAGCAACCTTACTCGGCCTACAGGAAGATCCGAACGCACCGATCCCCGGACCACCTTCTTCACGATGCAACACACTTCGCAGCAAGCGATCGTTCTTTGCAGCGCCTAGAGCCGTCTCTTATTATGAAGTTAGTAGACCGACGACAGCCGTGGGTTCCTTCAGTGGCCGCCGTCTTCCCCAACCTGATCAAGGCGAGCAAGTGTTAAGGGATTTACGGTTGGGACTGGCGAGATGCATCTCAAGACTCGTCGCTACGTTACGAGTGACGAACGGCGGCCCCGCAGGTCCTGATGGCGCGGGGCAGATGAAGCGAGAAGAAGATCCTGACTTTATGCGAGCACTATGCGAGATCGTGCGCCTCTCTGAGGAGAGGTACATGTAGCCAAATGAATACAGCTATAGCGTCACGAGCCATTTGATTTATCAACTATACCTATACCCACATATAATGGACAATGCAGAAAAGATACTCACGAAAAATATATATATATTAATACACACGAAGCGAAGACACGAGGGACGGCCTTTCAATACCGGTGGTTCGCATATTCTTAGACCACACTACCGCAAACGGCATCTTACTCTCTATCAATGGATAATTCTCATTTATCTACTTACCTAATGTACTTCTACACTTCCCGCCGTATCATCTCACCAGGCAAAAGCCACTACTCCTATATGTATTATAATGCGCGACCATTTGGGTTCTGTTGCTAATTATAGAAGGGAGCTAAGATGACGGACGAAATCTTTGGTCCAAGTTAAGTTTGCCTCGGAGGTGGATGAGGCTAGGAAGTAATAATCCGAGGTATTGGGACGATATTACAGAGCACGTGCAGGGAGCATGCCTTTTTGTTTTCGTACGGGAACATAGTTCAGGGGGGGAGCATATTGATAGATTCCGTACCTTTCATCTGTTAGCCGGCATACTGGGATCGGAAAAGGGAGTCAATGACTGGAGTTCTGGAGTTCTGGAGTTGACGAATATGATCTTTGTGGGTTAGGTGCATGCATATCTGAGATCGAGGGAATCGGTTGTTCATTTATATGATAATTAATTAATTATTATTATTATTACTACTACATACACCAAATTCCAGGGGCTATCATTATCGTTCTTTCAGTATTTGATGTCTTCTACGGGAACGTACATACGGAGAGTAATAAACGAGGGACCTATGTAGAATGAGGCTTAGATCGGAATTGCGTCTTTAACGTCGTCTGTATGTATATAATGTATATATTAATTGATTCCGACCCTTGTCGATAGGTAACAGTTGGTGGTTTTCGGGCTATTCTAGGCTATAACAGAGAGACTATTATACATATTAGCGCCATACCGGCATTCTGGACGAGCCCTGCGGGGTGGCCTACGCGAACTCATGCACTAGGAGGTAGGTATGTAAAAGCTGATGAGCTACATACGCTAGAACGCGTCTAGCTACTAGCTCCTATTACTAACTAATGTAGTACTAGTATATTAAGATGTAGTTAGTTAGTTCCTAACTCTTATAAGTTACAAGTTGCAACAACCACACCCAGATGGGCCGAGCCCCTCGGAACACGGAGTAAGGGGGTGTATATCTCTCATCCGTCACCATTACTTCAACTCCTGTAAATACTACACTGCTGGAGCAAGGGCGCTCTATGTTACCTATATGTATCACACGTAACGGAGCATTCGTTTGGGCAGTGCAATTTGAGACTGCAGAGGTGCTGGTGAAACGTGTCACGATGAATTTCCCATCCGTGCATACCTACAAATCATATAAATGACCCCCCTGGTTATATGACGATAACTACCTACCTAGGATACCCCTACTCTGCCTGTACATAGTAAAGTAGCACGAAGCAATTAAAATAACGGTTCGATATAGGTAGTTGAGATATACAATACTACTATGTAATCACGAGCACACCTTGCCAGTACCACTGCCAGACTCCCACATGGTAAAACTTGTAAAGGAAGCTAGATTGCAATATGCAAGCCTAGGTATCTCCTATTATGCAATGCTCATATTCAAAATACAACGTGCTTCCCGACATAGCAAAATACCAGCAAATAGCCTAACCTATATGGGTACCTAGGTAGGTAAACAATTATGCATCACCTGTAATCCGTCGTATCGTCAAAAGAATACCTATCCCTCAATACACCGCCAACCTGTCCCTTCTCCGCGAAATCATCCATCCCCGTGAACCCGCTTGACGACGTCATCGTTGTAGGCGGCCAGAAGAAGCTACCGCCCTTGCTATCCGAGTCGCTAGGCGGATACGGCGTAGCGACAGACTTACCAGGGCCTTGAGGTAGGTTATCAACGGTAGGCGTAGCCAGACGCCCGTGCATGCGGAACGTTTTCGCGTGTGCGTTACTCAGTCCCAACAACCCAGCCGTGATGAGCAGTAGTAGCATGAAGATAATGGAACCGACCTGCGTCATGTTACCGCTGAAAGCGGCCACCATGTACACGATCAGCTTGGCAGCCGCCTCGAGGTAACCGTCCAGATGTGTCTTGGCACGCAGCCACGATGTCGTGGTGATGGCCTGCAAGTCCTCGGCCACGCCACGCAGACACACAGATCGGCCTTGGCCTAGATCTACTAGGTACTCCGTCAACAAGCTGCTCACGTCGGGTTTTGGTGGTGGAGCCACGGGAGGTTTCGACCGCTGTTTGATAACCCAAATGTTAAGGACGCGGGATAGCATGAGAGCGAGGAGAGATGCTACGCCCCACCATTCCCGGAGCAGGATCATGAACACGAATGCGGTTATGGTAAGCGCGGGGCTCATAAGGTATAATACGTGCGAGACCCAACCTAGGTCGGCGCCTTGATCCTGCCATATGGTAGCTCGCTGGCCACGAGCCTGCCGCCGACCGCCTGGGAAGTAGTAATTACGTTCGGGCATCATACCCACGTCCACGGTGACCCTTTGTCCGACCATACCTACACGTTCTAGGTAGCGTTGGGTGGCGGTATTGGTGATATTATGCGTCGACGTCTGGCCCTCATATAACTCAACCGCGCTGTACGACTCGGTCCTACCGGCGAGCGCGTCGGCGGCCTGCTGATAGTGCAGGCCGGGAGCAAGAAGCAAGGCATCGAGCCACGACGAGCCTCCTACGATCTGCGTGCGCTTGGCGATGGTTCCGAGATCCGCAAGTGCGAGGAGGCCTGATGCCGAGAGCGTGAATCCCGGAATAGGAGTTTGAGTCCAATTCGGAAACGAAGCCTCACGCTTCAATATGGTCTGATTACCTATGTTATTAGTATACTACGTAACGGTTTGCTTGGAGTGAATCTTTTAACGCGCCTCCATTTCTAACCGTGATACCCTCTTAGCCGTATTAACTAGATCGAATTCACGACAGGCTTAAGCTAGCTTGTTAGGAGGTTAAAATTCGATCTTGGAAAAGAAGGCACTGTACAAATATATAAGAGGCCGAGCGAGGGCTACCCATGATCAGGTCAAGAGGTCCATAGAACATGCCTCAGCCCTCGCCTGGGAAATTCCACCTTTTCATAGCCATCGTAATTCAGCAAGAGGGTTGTAACGCGAGCAAGGCTCTGAGCTACCCCTCGCTGATCAGTAGGGCTAGGTCGTTGTCGAAGCAACCATAAGCAAGTCCATAAGCAAGTCGACATGTGAAGGATCTTGGTAGATTGACCAATAGCGTTGCGGCGGTGAGATCACGAGTACCCAACCATCGTAGCGCAGGGAGATGATTACACCCTCCCGTCCGCAATATATGACACGGTTATCTTCTTGGCGGTTTAATTGAGCAATTCGGCAGGGCGGATATGTTTAGTTCTTAGACATACTCAGACATGTTGAGGGGATTGGGGAGATTTTTGTCAAATCCGAGTGGAGGAACCAGTATATCTTTTTTGCTACTAGCTGCGGCAACTGCAGGTCATTGTGGCAGCTGATGGTAGCCACTAATTTCACTATCTTCTTCATAAATAAGGTTGATTGAACTGCATAATTAGGTCATTTATGTACCCCCAATCTTACATGTACATATGTACCTACCTAAGGTCTGGGGTAAATGTATGGACCTACTTAAGTACCGGAGCAAAACGGACCGGGCAAAGGTACGCCCTATGTTATCGATAAAAGCTCCCCGTCCTAATCCGATAAGTGCATAGATCCCCGGCTCTAATACGTCGGCTGTAGCTCTTTGGCTCTTTCTCAACGTCCATCTATCTCTTCTTTCTGATCATCAACTAGCACCGCTCAAGGGCTGCAGATCTCACGCGCGAATAGGCACTAGCTAGCATGACTTGACCCAAAATGGCGCCTACGCAGCCAGAACCGACCTACACGGTTTTCGTTCGACTCCCGTTTCCTAGAGGCGACTTTGTCGATCCTCCGCCTGTACGTACATAATTCAATCAATAGATTCCATCTCATCTCGCCCTGCTGTTCGAAGCTAAATGACATATTCAGACGAATTGGGATTCGACTAAAGATGAAGTCCTCTGGAGCATCGTATCTCGTCCTTATAAGACGGAAATAGACTGTAAGTGACAATTATTCTATATAACTAGCGGATTACACGCGAAGTAACTAATAACTACATACTAGGGAATGATATGTAAGTGCTAATTCCCATCCCCAACCAACTTCGATATTTTTGCCAACCCATTTCAAAGCGCAAACCAATTCGGAGTTACAGTCGACTTCCTCCTCCAGCAAATTACCTGGCTCAGCAATCATCGTACCTCCCAAATTCAAACCCAGTTGCGTAGGGCTGCTACAGCATCTAAGGGCTCGGTACCGTCGCCTCAGCCCAGACCCGATGGCATGTTCTCCGCAGAACCTATGCGACGCACCGGGTCCGGTGATAGGTCGGTTCGAGCACCATCAGCATTGTCGATTAGGAAGGACTCCCCTCTACCGCGTAACGACGGTAGTGTCCCCGGTACGCCAATGAGGAGCACTCCACGACCGACTGTGACCCGCACGTCTTCATCTAACACCGCCGTCCATATAACTCGCAACCTGGTCAGCAGCGGCAAAGCTCCTGTAAAGTCCAACGTTGATCCCCAACGCCACCGTCTCTCATCCCTCCCCATCGCGACCTCCGTCGATGACGATAACGACAATGAGAACCAGAACACCGAACCGACTTCCCCAGGACCAACCGAGTCCAGCGACTCTGTAACTTCTTCGTCCTCCTCAAGCCCCGCGCAGTCCAGAATCATCCGTCGACCCCCGCGGTTTCAAGGCACCGATGCCGCACCCTCCTCCTTTGCCGATGACGAAGACGACGACGAAGATGATGATGGCGAACCGGCCTTCCTACCTTACCAGCCACAAGCAGACGGCAGCAGCGGCGCGCAGCATGACCTCAGCGCCACGCTCCGCGGTAACCCCTCGCGCGACTACGTAAAGCGCCACGCTGCTGCGAAGGGGTCAACCCGTGTCCATCGCTCGCAAACCTCGGACTCGTCGAACTCCACAGCGCCGTCCGGGCTTAGCAGTAGTCGGACGGGAGCAGGCGGCGGCCCGCTGTCGCCGCGAAAGACGACAGAAACTGTAGGACGTAGCCCTGGGGCGAGGTACTCGAAGAATAGTGATAGTGGTACGCCAAGTATAGGGAGCAGTTTTAGCGATCTTGATGGTATGTGTAGGCCAAATTTTCTTTTTCCTTTATATATTCGTCTCTGTTGGGTATGCAGTGACGAATATTAAAGGGAGATAGGTTATTATGATACGGTGTAACAGTTGCTAATAAGCTTGCAGATACTTCAGTAACGCAGTCCGCGATGGAGGAAGTGATCGCGAGCCAGATACAACATGGCACGATAAGTAGTCTTATCAACGCAACCTTCCGGAGCAGGTATCTCCCTGGTAACTCGAATCAGTGAGGCGCGTTTAAGTATGATTGGGTTTGGTGTCTAGTACTTTCATTTCTGCGTTGCATTTTTTGCTTCTGGTAATTTTCATGGACGCCTCTTCACTCAGGTGGTCGGTCAGGAACGGGTCGGTTGGGCTAGGTTAGGGCTAATTTGCCTCGGTTCCTGTGAAATCAGACACAAGGGCAAGCGGGTATGTACGGTGTTTAAGGGTTTTAATCCCGGTCAGGGCAGGTGTTTGGGAAGATTGGGCTAGATTGAACTTGACTGGCTTGCGCCTAGGTATGTGTACGCATACAATATCATTACGTATTCGTGTCAGAAGAATAGGTATTATTGCAGTGTTACACCCGGATTGGAAAGTGATCGGTGATATATGACTGTCAACGTTTCTCTTCAAATCCTGGATTAGAATCAAACTACGGCGAGGGGATACCAATGCTGCTAGTGTAGTAAAATGGTCCCGACTTGACTTGAGGCCCCAGCTAAGGCTTTGCCAATATCCTGCATGATTAGAGACGAGTCTTTCTAAAGTAAGGTAGAAATAAACCCATCCCTGGAGTTATGCTGAAGATAAATACAGAAAATGATGCTAAATTTTATAAGTGTGCGTTGGGCTCTTTATTTGATTTTTACCTAGAAACCATACACCGTATGATATCCGTTGCAAATCTAAGCCGTCTTGGGGTTCTCTTGGGTTGATCTTGTGAGCCTCAAAGATAGGTCATTATGTTTTCGTTATGTCCTCTAATATAGACAAATCTTCAGAATAGGACGAATACACCTTAGTTATCCCCATGGCCTCTATGTAGAATGTATGGCCCCTACTGATTTTAGAAGGATAATTTACTACATTATTCAAACCTGCCATGTACTCACCACGAACCTCTAATCAAAACTCAAGTTGTCCATGTTTACCAGTTAGCACTGAAGGGACACCATATAATAAAAAGCCCCAGACGATCAGTATCATGTCAAGGAATGGTGGGATCATATAGAGAATGCTAGCAATGATTTTTATTCTTATTTTAGTAGGCATATTATGCCTGGCATGATAGTTATGGTAATGGAGCTAGACTTGTCGTATCATATCAAACTAGGAAACGTAACTTCTATCACAGGCAATTAAGCAAACAGGTTCATGATGACGCACGGCATTGGCGATTCTTCTCTTCATTAGGCCGCAATACAACGCGAAAGTTAATGCAAAGTTCCTCCTGGGTGTCCACCTCAAACATTCCACGATTTTCTTTTATGTCGATCCTTTGCAACAGACGAATAAATGGGACAACTGCGAGCAATCCATACCACACATAGCTACCTAAGTAGACAAAAGCAATGCTGATGATGCCAAACTCCTGTACCTGCAACAACTAGGCCATCTCACTCCAAAATCTGCCAAGATCCACCCCCTCGTGGGAAACAAAGTCATCTAAGCCTTCATGCGTGCCGGCATCGAGAAGTATTAACCGGAAAATGGCGAGCATCTGCCGGAAGTCATACTCACATATGTAGACTGCTGATGTCGGGGCTAGGTTGTCGCATGAAACGGATGCTTAGAAACGGGATGCTATCTCGTGTTCCTCAACTACAGCAAAAGTCAGCATGCTGCCAAGTGAATGAGGATGGCATGAATAAGGAAGCGCATAAGTTATAACATACCATGGCCACTGTTTCCTTCGCGGCGAATGGGAGTCCAGTGGCTCCACTGAATCTCCTCGTTGCGGTTGGGAGGCAGAGGGATGGGCTGGTCGAAAGAGGCAGGCTCTTCATTCTTGACTGCGCCGAAGCGGGAATCCTTGGGGGGAGGGACAGGTTCGGTGGCCGAGTGAGATCCGAAAGGCTGAGGGGAACCCTCCGAATGGGCGGTGTCAGGTCCGGAATGAAGAGCGCTAGCGCCCTTAGCAAAGCGGTTCTTGCGAGCTCGCCAGACGAAGACTCCCACAACGGTGAGAAGAACAAGACCACAAACGCCAGTGATGACGCCGATCTCAAGGCCAGTGGGCTGGTAATGCGTGCCGCTGTTGCCTAGGTCAGAAGGCGGGGCTCCGCCATCAAGGGGAGAGCCGGCGTCATAGTGGTCGTCATTGTTGGGAACAGGCGACATTGTGATGCAGATGGAAAGATGACAAATTCAATGGTGGTTCTGGGAAAGGTGATCGGCACGCTGACTAGGTTATTAGTCAAGCCGTCTATGGGGGACGAGATAGAGATGTCTGTTTGACGTGGTAGGATTGAACGTCGGTCAAACAGAAAGGAAGGACGGTGACGGTGTTGGTGTTGTCGAAGAGACTTGACGCGTAACAGAGCTGCGGAAGTCAAGTAACTATTCTATTTGAGAAGTTCGAGGGATTGTGCACCAAAGAACTCTCTGATAACCAGAGAATTAAATGGAAAAGGAGAAGGAAAAGAAAACCATCTAGCAATGTAAAAGGTTGCTAGAAATTTATGAAAGAGTTGTAGAGAAATATATTTTACTAAGGCAGGATCTTTTCGTATCGAGGGCAACATCTAAACGCACAAAAAACGCGACTCGGAAATATGTTTGAAAGTGGCAAGAGCGACGGCATTGCCTAGGGAAGGAGCCGGCGATTAACCTCAGGTACATACCGGTAGTGCCTGTAGTTCCTGCAGTTTCTGTAGGTACATGTAGTAATTAAGATGCCTAAAGTCTATTTCGTTATCGTACCGTGATTTCGATGTCGTTTCCAGTGTTATTCGTATGTATTAACTTACACCACGAAACTAACTAAGAAAAGTGAATAAGTTACTCTTTCTTATCCACGCTCTCAATATCCTCAATATCGGTGTTGCAGGATGCTCACATGCACATACTCCTTTATGTCTACTCCTACAACACTACCTTTTTTACAACGCTCTTATTCGAAGGGACGTCCCAACCACATCCCAACCAGGTAAGATCCCATGTTCGTCCTAAACTTCCTATCTGCTCACCAAGGATTAGATCGCGAACCATCCTGTTTTTAGATAGACCCCGATACTATTGGCCATCCTCTCGACAAATGACCCAAAACGGAAATATCTCGTGCTCTGGTGACTCAAAAACCTAAACGTCTCATCGTCTTTGGTCTTTGAGCACGTCGATTGCTGTTTCCAAGTGCCGCACGACATCCTCGGTTCCTTGCAACGGCAACGGCAATGTGCCTACCCGTCCGAGAACGCATGCACTCAACGGCTGTCACACCCTTGTCAACCAAAGACCGCTAAGCCTGGCAATATAACAGGCCCATCGGAGATGGAGTGGATAACCGGCAGTTACTAGGAATGGCCTGGCTTCATCAGCCTCGACGCTGTCAGTTGCACCTGTGTGAGGTATAAAGGGGAACCGTCCTCTCGTGTATCAGCTCCTGTGTGCCCGCCGCGTTTTATGATTGCTTCCTCTTCCCGCTCTAGATCGAAAGTACATATCTAGAAGGTAATACCTCTAATCCCTCCCTTCACTCTTTGCCCAAAGAAGGCAATTCCGTACTGCGAATCTTTATCTCTAGAGACTTCTCTCCTAGCGAAATATATATCGAGATGTCTCAAACGCTAAAACAATCACTGAGCACGATGCGCTAATGGAGTCTGTGTCAGCATAATAGAATATGGCATGGGGCTTGGCTCAACCTCAGAGACGAATCTCGTGAACGTAACACAAAGGCGTCTAAGAAAGGAGACCTTATTGTCGCGATAATTAGGATGCTCCAGACACCGGTGAATCGAGAATATTGTGAACAAGTCTACATGTTGTACAGCCTTGTTCAAAGCAGCCAAATACTCAAGATGCCCCTAGCCAGGCCAAAGATGGTTTCATAGGTACCTACACGTAGTGCTAATGTGTGGGATGGTAACATGAGGATTGTTTCGGCAGCTGAATCACGTGTATCTTTGGCTATTATCTTAAGCCATTAAATACTGCATCTTGTCTCAGAGTGGATTATTAACTACCACATATTCCTAAACTGCCTACTCCCCAATGCTATGCAGTTTAGCCTTAGATAATCATTTCTAAATATAGGAACTACTTAACGATATCTCGATCAATAATATCTACGTTCTCGACGAAATCGTCGGCAATTGTGCCCTTGGGATAGTTTGCTTGCACCAATCCCTCGGTTCCTGGACCAGACAGGGGGTAGTATATCACGGAATGGCCGGGCGGGTTATTCGGCAAGACGGGATCTAAACTAATGAATAGGGATATGACCTAGATATCAAGTCTTCCAATGTTATGGAAATGTTGAACTCCCCTTTATTAATCTATGGCTAATCCCATGCCGGGTTAGCTCCTCAAACCGAGCAATGCGTCCGAACCATATCATATCCTACGAGGCATGTCCATTTACAGATGCTAAAGTGAGACAGCTTTTTAGATCCATATCCTCCTAGCGTTGCTCTACTACCATGGCCTTTCATCTTCGTTTATCTTTAAATAAGAGCCCATGGCTAGAATCAGCAGTGGTTATAAAACAAACCTTTAAGTGAATAAGGTTCCTTTGTATACAAGGGTTGGACAATTAAGATGAAGAGATAAAATAAAGCTAGTTGAACAAAATTGGCGAATTCGAATTTCCCATGATAGCCCAGATAGTTATATAAATATGATATTATAAAGACAGTTCGTCAAAGCCATTAAGGAGCTAATACTTAGCAGTTAACACCCTAATGAAATATCTTGATCTAACGATCACAGTGTCTGCAGGATGATCTGGCCAGACGACTATCCTCTAGGTATAATAGATCAATATACGAAGAGAAGTCTTAGTAAATATGAATTATGCACACGTCATATGTACTTGGTCTATACAACATCAAAGCTTACTAGGCTTAAGACATCTCCCTCTACTTAGCTACCATGATATCAGTCCCAACAAGAGGGACAAGCTAAGTCTACACACCATTCGCATGTATCATCCAACGTAGCAGGTCGAAGCATCGGATTTAAACATCCATAAGGCCTTTCTACCATAGAGTGATAGTCAATATGGAAAGGTACGTAAGAACACAGTGTGTAGACGGTCGTGGTATCTTATAGCTCTACCTGTAAATCCATCCCAATGCCTGCCTATCCATAGACCGAATGGTTCCCTATAAACCCCGTGGAAATGTCCATAAAGCCTCGTAGTAGATGCTAAATCCTCAAACGCCAATCCTAATGCAACTCCTTTGTGTATTCCTATGTGTAATTAATTATCCGGTTTTATTGTCTCTGTTTCCTAAGTACCGACCCTCTCTGACCGATTCCAGCAGTCGACTTACGGTTCTCATTAGTCGTAGTTGCCGCTGAAGATAGTACGCCTGAGGTTGACATTTGCCTTATAGGCTGTGCTTGCTGTAAACTCTCCGGGCGCTTCTGTAGCCTGCCATTTGCATAGGCTGTCGGGATTTTCTCGCCTGTCTCAGTACTTGAACTTCTTTCCATCCCAAGTCCCTTTCCTTTTTCGTCCAGCATAGCCTTCTTTCTGCCCGGTGTTAGAGCTGCTAATGCGGCTGGCCCAGAAGCGGTAGAGATACCCGAGCGAAAGTTGGTCCAGTTATCAGCTGTTGATTTTGTTTCATCTACCACCATAAAGATCGCTCCGGCTAGGAGAGTCAAGAGGATGACAAGAGTACAGATGGCCGCACCAGCTCGATCGCCTCCAGATACCGGGCCAGAGAAAAACCGCCCGTTGGGATCCGCTCGTCCACTATCGGAGCCACCCGCCGAAGGATTACCAACACTGGTTCCACCAGTGCTATTGGTAACCGGCAGCTCAGCTTCATGTATCATGTTAGCCAGTACCACTTCCATAGCCGCCATTTGTTGTCCAACACCAGTCGAACCATCCCATACACCGCTGTTATTCGCCCACTTCAACCCGCACATTCGGTGGTTATCACCACCGGTACACTGCTTCGCGGCGGCTACGGCAGAATTCTGCAGCAAAGTTTTGATTCGATCGAAAGTCCAGGGTGCCCATTTTGTAGTGGCGGCCATCCATCTGCTCAAATACGCCTTAAATGATTGCTGATCCGTATCACATAAACTAACTGGCTCACAAGCAATCTCGATCATAATTCGATTCGAAGTGTCATTTCCAAAAAAGAATATCTCCTCTGTGCTGTTTAATAGGCCATCGACCCGTTCGCGCCACATCTCGACATCGCCCTGCTGTTTCGAATTGTTTGTATATGCGACCATGGCGGCTGATCCCAGAAGAAATGCGCCAACGTTGTACGAAAATTCATACGGCGTGATAGTAGTACAGTTGTCACCAATATGTGCTCCATCGTAGACTCTATAATTATCGTCAATGAATTTGACGTTGACCATCCAATCCCACGTCCTGACAGCCCAGTCGGCATAAGTAGTATTGCCAGTGTAGAGCGCCAACCGTGCGGCGATGTTGAAGAAACATGCCTGCGAGATAGAATTCTTGTAGTCAAAGCCGGTATTCCACGTAAAGATCTGCCATCGCAAACCGCCATTACAGTCCTCCTGATCCCATCGAGCAGCTTGAGTGTTGAAAACGGCCTGAGCCAGTGCTAACCACCCCGGCTGATCTGACGGCGGGTCCTGGAATTTGTACTCAGCCGCGGTCATGACAGCCATCCCCCAAAACCCTTGGTCATCATTACCCTCGGTAAGTGTCTGGTTAGGAGGCATGTAATCATTATACGGGCCGACCTGATGAAGTAGACCTTGCTGAGCGATGTCGTTGTAAGTAGTATCTCCAGTATAATACCAATAATCAATTAACGCGCCCATCAAAGCGCCTGCCTCCCACCCTGATGCCATGAATTAGTAATGAATAGAACCTAAAGCGCTACATTAGACTCACAGTAATACGGTTGTGGTAGAAGACCGGGGGTTTGTCCGGGCTCGTCACCGTGATAGAAAGATACCAAGTCCTCTGCCATCTTTTTGGCTGTATCCTTGATGGAATCTAAAAGTTTCATTTCGTAAGAAGCTAGGTAAATATGAGTAAGTAGTGAGCTTATCACATACCTGGTGATCCAACATCTAGCTCATACGTAGCGACGAGGTTGGTAACCATTAAGACCGAGGCTACCGATAATACGGCATTCCGCCGCGAGTGCCACAACCACATGACGACGAGTTGAAGTCCAACTAAAACGGAGCGAATAGGGGGAGTCTAGTTGAACACAAATATGAACATGGAATTAAAAAACGGACAGGTTCTACTGGGGTTATGGCATTGCAAATGCAATTCCCAACAGACAGGATCGATGTAGTACGGCAACACCGGGTGTGATGTGTTTGTGTAGGTGTGGTGTGGTGTTTTGTGAACTGTGGGTGTCGAAAAATCCAACATCAGCAGTATGGAACGAGGAATGATGATGACAAAGAATGATGTCGATACATGTAGAGAGATGGAGGAGAGACAACGACCTCATCCGAAGGTACTACTGTATCTACCTAATGCACGTACATATGTAAGGTGTAATAGTGTAATTCCATCCCTGCCCTTGAGGAAATCGCGTTCTTAATAACACGCGCATACCAGCGAAATACCAAGGTACCTAGGTACTTATTTGAGTACTTAATTGTACATCAGTAGTGCTTGTAATAGTGCTGTAATACGAGGAATGCCCCGCGTATTTCTCCAACGGCACCAATGACAGGGGGTCATTGATCATTCGATCCTTCTACCTCTTACCACAAGAGGTACCTAGTATTAAGGTAAGAACAATGAAAATATTTAAGAGCCTGCCTTTGTGTTTTGTAGAAAGACTTCTATCGGTACGACATTTTGAAAGTGCGAAAGTACTACATAATGTAGGCCACTTACAGCGACTTATTTGTTTCCGGTCCAGCTCCTTTAAAACCAGCAGCTTGAGGGTTTGAAATTTGGTAGGCCGGCCTTTTCGGATCTGTCGTCTCGGCCGCTACCGTCGACACTAGTGTAATAACACTACTGCTCTATGTCGTAATAGGATTTGAGCTACCCCAGGTAGTTACCCATTTAGGTTCCCTTCTACTGCTATCATTGTAGCCGCAGCCGAAGTAGGTCAGGCATGATGACGCCGAATACCTAGCCAATGATCTGGGTCCTTTTCGACCCTTCTTGCAGTTCACCATGTATAATAAGACTGTATGTAGAAGCGGGGAAATTCCAATGAGAATAAGACATAACTAGTGTAGCGTGATCCTATTATTCTGTTATACGAGACCTCTTATGAAACTAGAATATACCATACCGCGTGTAGTATAGTGCCAGACTAGGATGACCTGGCAATTCGACATGGACCCATTAAGCATTCATTAAACTGAATGGTGAACCGACTCTTATGAGCTATCCAAAATCTCAAACTCTGACATTAGGGAGAGGTGCACTTCATTATGGCTGACGAGTCCGTATTTATTAACATCGTCTAGTATATCATCGTATAAGTGCAGATGCGAACAGCGCACCGTTAAAAAATTGTTTTATTGGCTTTGGGACCTAACACTTGCAGCAACGTCCCCATAAGTCATAGAGAATGTTTCTAGAAGCGAAGACTCGCGTGAATGTTTAGGCTAGCAAGTCCCGGGGTGTTTTATTATTGCGACAACCCTTGCTATTAAGACGGGTACGACCGAGTATTATTAACGAAATTAAGGCCGGCACTGCGAAAGTTCTAGCTAGGAAACTTTATCGTTTTCGAAAGGTACTGTTGGAAGGTGCAATGCATAAATGCATATACTATAAGATTTCTACCAATTAGAAGTGGAGCATTAGAATCTTTTACAATACAACATCATAATGTTCTAACCACCATCATCACATATCATCAGTACCTTACCTTAGGTACATGGTAAGGTTCCAATTACATAAGTCTCATCTTTATTATGTAATGCTTTAATACCATTAACAAGACGGTCAACAACCTAACCCCGACAGCTAGCCCCGGTAAGGATAGCTTCATCGGTCACAATATGCGTCAGAAACGGATTTGCGAGAATTTCAATCTCTCATGCAAACATACTAAGAGTTTCCTTCATCTGCCTCCTTCTGTACGGTGTCAGGTATATGAAAAAGCTGGCCTCATAGTTAGAGGTGACATTGTTCTCTGCCGAAGACCCCCAAAGATATTGTCTGAGGGGCACACCACAGAAGATGAGGCGTACCACTTCATCTATAATATCCTCCAGACCTGCCAAACTATCCATGACGAAGTCAAGTTCATCCTCTGTACAGAGAATCGCATCATAGTAGACCGTGAAGCTATTGACTATGGCCTCTACTACCTCAGCCGATTATCTCCTCGAATATGTTCTAAGCTGCGGAACTTATATGTTCACTTATATATCTATGATTCATCGAGCACGCATCTTAATCTCACGTCCCCGTTTACCCTTAAGCGAGGCTGCATCAGCGCATGGCAGACAGCCGCGACTCATCTACTAACCTATACCAAACCAGAGACTCTAGATCTACACCTCATTTGCGATACAGGTAGCGACAAGAAAACACGAGTCGTCTTACAGCCGCTCAATAATAATTTAAGTATCCTTGCAGACTGTCATATTCGTCTCCATCCATTAAGGGATAGTTCGCTATATACGGCAGCCCAAGAAACAGCATTACGAGCAAAAGGGCTAGATCCCGATTTACGAAAGAAGCCATCCCAATTCATGAAACTTCCGCCAGAACTTCGCCTTAGGGTTCTCAAGCATACTGATCTTGTCACCCCTTGCAACGAGGTTTAATGGAGCCCCAAGACTGGATTTCACGTGATACGCTTTGGGATCGGGTCGTATTGCTGTAATGATGAAAACTACTTAACAACATCGAACTTTCATGCGTGGCAGTTCTGGGCCTGCGATCCCTCTTACCTCGACGCTACCGACTCTTTTTGCTCCGCCCGTCATAGTAGCTATTCGTCTAGTTGCCAATGTTGGATTCCGCCAAAAGCCCTGATGCTAGTTAATCAAAGCATGTACGCATACGCTATAGAGACTCTCTATTCCTACAACCGCGTTATTATCATGTCGGACCCGAACATTTTCTATTCCAATATCGGATCCCAAGACTTCAGAAGGAGGTTGGATGTCTCGAGATTCTTCACCAGGCGCATGCAGCCTGGAATACTCTCACATCTGCGTAGTGTCGAGCTCGTATTTCCTGGGTTTAGCGCTGGCGACTTCTACCCAAAGCCAACTGACCCGATATGTGCTGATTGGCACTTTGCGATAGACAATCTGCGAGCTCATGCTAACTTAAATGCCATGACGCTCATCGTACATATGAGACTGTGGTTTGGTCCTACCGATTCGCACGTCCGAGTTGTGGATAACCGCAACCCGTTCGCTCATTATCTGTTAAGGTGTCACGGAGAACCGGCCTTAGCATTGAAAGTACACAAAGCTTTCCTGAAGCCATTGAAAGCATTACGTGACGGGGGTCTACAACGGTTGTTCGTCTTCCTTGAGTGGGACTGGCACTGGTCACCCTCGCGAGGCTGCGCACCGCACTGTAGGGGCTATCGGGACGACCTGGACAACTCTGTTGATGACATGGAAGTAAACCTAGAGAAGGAAGTTATGGGTGATGATTATGATAGTTGTACTGTCGGGAAGATGAAAGAATACCCTAGTCAATGGATGCTGATGGCTGAGTAATGTGCCATTTCGCTATGTAAAGCATACTTTAGTATTCAGAAGAGCAAGTACAATTGCATCTTGTTTTGAAAGGAGTTGGAAGATGACATCATATCAGTTAATAGGTCGTCATTATGTACCTAACGCCTTCCCGGAGCTCAGTCGGCCCGTAGGTAGATTACGTAAACTCACATGGACGTAAAAGTCTTACATAAAATACAACAATTATCAAACGACATCACCATTTACACTACAAACATGCCGGATTCTATACACTGACTTCGATTGACTTCGGGCAAGGTCTCGGTAAAGTCTTATTGAGAATGTACCTTGCCCGACGCGAGAAATATTCCTTCAAGTTACTAAGTGAAGCCTCGTTAACTATAGTTACCGAAGACAAACTTATAACTATAAGTTTATTCCATCGCAGCGATTACGCGTACAATCCTGAGAGTGGCCGGCTATTTGTCTATATATATTAAGTCCAACAATAGCGGGACCAGGGTAGACCTGTGAACTTGCTGAACTATCATCAGCTCGAGGAGCCGACATTTCCCCGCTTGAAAGACAGTAAAGGAGGTACTGTAGTGTAGACCACAGGATATAACCAACCATGCGTTGAGTCATTACTGGATTTCGGAGACATTCCTCCAAGTTCCCGTACAAGAGTACGGAGCTTTCTATAAATATCACAACATAAATCGGATATTACGTTAGTATTGCCGGTCATCTAGCTAGAGAGTTTTGATTATGTTCACACGATACAATATCGAGATGAGACCGTAAATCATCGAATGAAGCCAAGCACTACTTCATCACCAACCCACGTGTTTACCTTGTGATACCCCAGATATCAGCTTATATTATATAGCACGACAACCTCGCGTCATGTAACCTCGATGGGCTGTATCGGATGCGAAGATAGTACATAGATCAATACAATTCCACGCGACCACTAGGGTTTTCACACTCCAAGCCATAGGGCTGAGTGATCGCGAACTAGCTTAATATTTTAGCCTATGAGAGCGTTCCAATTGATTGGTCGCAAATCCGAGCTGAACCGCCTCGTCTCATGTCTCGGAACCGACGCCCGTGCCCATATCTGATTAAGTACCTACTCCTGAGCCGACAACCGTCTTTATGTCACGATTAGACTCTTGATAACACGCTGACAATTACTATGTTCATTGCTAATACGAATAGCTTAAGCCTTTTTGCCTTTTTTCTTGCTTACAATGAAGGAAGGATTCTGATCTCAGCTAATCCGTCGTGTTACACAGCAAACTATTTGATATCATCTATGAAGCCCGGGTCGGTAATTCGTTGGCTTCCAGGGGCTAATCCTTCGCAATTTGCACCATGAGCCCACCGGGGATATCGCAGGAATCACCTCTAGACCGCTATTCGTTCCTTAGGAAGAAGCAAGCCACGGTTCCATTACGGTGGATCTATTTCCTTGAATAGTTCCAAAATAGACAACTAGCCCCCCCAGACTAGTGTCCGTCGACTAAAAAGGGACCTGCCAAGAAAATATATAAACCCCAGCACCTCATCGACGGATGAGAAATATGCAATACAACACAAGCCAAGCTTTCGGACAACTACCGACATCATTACCTTGACCCCAGACTCCATTTATCCGATTATATCCACCCAAGCAACTCATAATGCAGTTTATTGTCCATATTGCCCTTGCTGGCGCTGCCTTGCTTAACGGGTAAGCCACTCCACACTAACATCAACAACACTACCTTGGCGTTTCCTAAGACTGACCACACATCATCTACTTATAGCGCCAATGCTGCTCCCGCCGAGCCAACTACACTACCGGGTCACATAGTATGCACCAGTGTCACAACCATTACAACCACGGTTCCCCCTGTCGGGGTCTGCCACCCTGTGTGTCTCTCACCAACTAGGACCTGTAGCTTCGGCGAGCCTACCGCTCCCCCTCTACCTACCATCACGACCAGCACCCTCCCCTCCTGTACAAAGGAGGTGGTGGTACATGGGCAATGCGGCGAGTGCGCTACTTGCCTCCCTGCCCCGACCCCGACCCCTTTGGCCTAAGTTTATAAGCTACGCAGATGGCGTGTAGTTCTTTAGCAGCTTCCAAAAAAAAAAGTCAGTATACGAAGACTGTAGCTGTAAGGGATAGTTTATAGGCAGTATCGGCAAGGAGTAGAGCTCAAGCTTCACAGCACGGGATAGGAGGAAAGTAAATAGGAAAAGGCTTCACCTTTATCTTTTAGTTAATTCACTCTTTTATTACTTCTCATAAATCTGACTCGTAATAGTGACTGTAATGAGCTTTGGATAATAACTGAGTTTCTTAGAAAATGAAAATGAAAAAAGAAGATCAATATTAAGTACAGTCATACTCACATAAGCACTTGCAAATATAACTTATAGTCCTATAGCACAAAAAGTCCCCCATAATCCATATATAAAGGGTTAATGTGACATGAGTTTTGACCCTTATATCGAAGAGTAGTACAGAAGGGTATTGATGAAAAGAAAAGAAAAGGCTGTGGGGTAGTTAATGGATATATAAAGCCTCGCATCACACATACCATCATAGGTCTTGATACTTTTTATTGCCTTAATCGCTTAAGAAGCTCGTGAGCCGTTGACAGCTGAAGTTGAACTTTACCTAACACCTAAGTTATAAGCCATCATAATCGAAATATAAGAACCTCATCACACTAGTTAAGCTTTATCTTCTTTCGTTTTTATTTACTTATCACAGCTTTCAAGCTAATCATTTAGTAAATCTCGGAATTTTAAGCCAGAAGTAACTTTAGGTTTTATGTGTTGGGAGCCAAGTGGCTGTTTTTATTTGTGCATGATTTTATTACTTTACTATAAAAATTACTAAACTTATCATATTTCAACTTTTACGGATAAAAAGTTGAACATTGAAATAATTTGTTTCCCCCATCTCCCTGAAAGATGTCGATGCCGGGACTTGTAGAATACACGGCACTGTAGAAAAGGGGGAAGTATATGAGATTCTCGGAAACTTCAGTCTACGGTTAAGCATAAGATTCCGATCTCCATTTCAGGGTAAAAGGGGAAAGGTTGCGAGTTATTATATTTCTGGCGGTATCGTTTAACTACTGCAAACAATTTGCATTACAATATGCATTGGTTATTACTATGCATCACTAGAAAGAGGCACTGCTAATTTGCTACGACCTTGAGGTAGCCTCTAGGTTATGATAATGACACCAGATTGATTACGGATACTTCCTACAGATGTAAATTGAAAGGAACGTGGGTATTCTGCTTGCCGAAGTACACGATACAACCAGAAAGGAAAAAGAACAAAAGGAGAGAGATTCCACCAATGCAATCAGAATACATCATCCCATCAATACCAGCCATTTGCCATTTCCTAGTACAATATTCAACGCCAGCCATATCTACCTATCTCAGTCCGGATAGGCGTTACAAACCTGTCCATCAGTCCTCGCCCGGAACTCTTGATTTTGATGTCCGTTAAGAGTCCGTTGGGAGCTACCGTTAAAACGGTCGGGGTATCACTTTCTTAGACTACATTCTCAGTCTTCTTGTCGTCAATGACGACAACACCTTCCTCGACGTAGGCAGGTGGAGCATCGTTTTCTTCCTGGTTAGCCATCAGGCCCGACTTCTCTTCGTTGACAACAGCTTCGGTATGAGAGGCCTTATGGTGATGGCTGTGACGGTGGTGTCGGCGGGAGTGACCACGGCGGGCAACCGCACGCCAGATGAAGACGGCGATTGTACCAGCAATCATGCCGAGACTATAATTTGATTAGTACGCATTCTTACTATTTATCATTAATAGAGAAAACTTACATGCAAGCAGTGATACCGGCAAAGATACCGACAGCAACAGGCAGTAGAATGTGGGAAGCGATATTCTTAAACAACAATCCCCAGTTCTTTTGGCGATGACCATGGTGGGGTTCTTGAGGTTCCTCTACCTTGCTTTCATTATTACCCTTGACTTCCTCATGGCCCTTAGCGTGAGCAGGGCGACCACCGCATCCTTTGTGGAAACGAAGGCCGGCAAGTTTCTGCATAATAACGGCCTTCCATTTGCAAAGTAAAGTGGTACATTCCTCTTGCTTATCCATAGGATTGCTTTGCGACGTCTCGGAGTCAATAGTTTTGATTTCGCCAAGCATCAACTTGCCGGTAGGAGTCTTGACAACATTGACCTGGAGGTTTGGAATACCATCGACAAAGACATCGCCAACTTCGATGATGTCAAGTTTGATCTCGATGAGCTCTAACGCGTCTTCCTCGTTCTTGGCAACGGGTCGAGTCTGCATGCCAAAGCCTAGAGTCTGAGGCTTAGGGCCCTTAAAATGAGGCCGCTTCTTCATTTGTCGATGTAGGACATCGGGACGAACAGCAGCGGTAAGGGTGTTTCGAAGGGGGTCTGGGTTAGGGAAAAGCTCGAAGCCGTTCAACATCAAGCGATCGGCATTGTCGGAAGGCACGATGCCAAAGTCCAGCTCCAAATGGCTCGGGATATCGTTCACGATCTTGACCTTTCCATGGTGAGGGATGTGGACAGGACAGCCGGGACACTTGAGCTTCAAGTTCTGGGATTCGACGGCTGCGATGGCGCCACCAACTCCAACGGGGACTGGAAGGGTGGTGATTATGTCCTTGTCAGATTCGGAGATGTCAGGAGGGAGAAGGAAGGCGTTAGATAAGGCCGCCAGGCCAGCGGCGGTAATGATAGATGTCAACTGCATCTTGGGTGTTATGATAGCAGCGGACGAATAGGTTTAATGCTTCATAGAAGCGCAGGATAATGAAGAGGAATAGGAATGTGTTGTTGTTTTGATGAAGAAAAGAAAGGAAAGGTTTGGTTGGTGGCGTGTTTGATTGTGTCGGTTTGTAAGGTTGAACACTTGAAAGAACCGGACCCTGCGGACTAAGATGACGAGCTGCGTCACACCTTATCAGCTGTGTGACGATTGTTAGTCAGGAGCTTTACAGCTGTGGTCACCTGGCAGTAGTGGACAGATATGACAGTAAACGTATCGAATAAGCACTGTCTTCAATTTATCCAATTAAGTTCTAGAATGTACTTGCATAACCCGAGCGTGCCGGATACCCATTACGTAAGGTCACATGACTGCCATTTCCATACCCACCCAAGTACTTCGGTACTTTCCTACGTTTATCACAGGTAAAGATGCAATCCCCTACCTAACAGGCTAACCCTCCTACATTCTTGTGCAAATACGGCGTATCTACCAACGACATAGCCTCACTATTAGTTGTCATTTGATGTAGCTTAGGTGCATTTCAACTGAGGATTTTGCGCTAAAATACGTAGTTAATCTATCAACAAAAAGTAGAATTGATCTTCAATCGCTCTATATAATGGCATCACCTTCGCTGCTTTTCTAATTTCTAGGGCTATTTTACAAACATTCTACACACAAGTTAAGAGCTGATGTTCGTTTGGTGTTGTTAATAACTACCTATTTACTTACCTATTCTGTCAATTCAGCTCAAAACGCCAAGACGTTAACTACATGCAACGCTTTCCTGATCTTCAAATGCAAGATATACTATAAACCTTTTCTATGTATGATTTATTTTTAAATAGAATTAAACCATCAGTTGCACGAGGAGAACTCGGCCCTCTTAACTTGACGGTCTTTATCATAATTAACTATGTCATCTAAGGAACTTTTGGGGGATATTGTGGTTACTTTGGTAAAGAAGACCCGGAGATCTAAACGGTCAAAGGCCGAAAAGTCGGACCCGTCCACTTTGCATGACGATCAGCTAGTCGCTACGACTAATACTCATAAGGACGGCGATAAATCCTCAAGCCCGGAGTTAGGAACTGACACTATCCCACTATCGCGCCCACCTTTATACAGGACTGTTGTTACCAAGAATGAAGAACTCGCATCTCCCGAATGGGTAAATACTCAGAAGTTCCTTGAAGGACCACCGAATCCTCGTATAAAAGTCACTGAGACTCAGATACTCGATATAGCAACATCATGTTTTCCCCCTATCCCGCACGACGCAGAGTTATCACCACTACCAAAGCCAGTATTAATCCCTCGTGTTGATCCAGGACTTCACATCCCATTTGCACGTGCGTGGGCGCCAGAATTGGCAAACCACGCCGTCACCCCAGAAGATTTATTAGCATTTATCGACAATCTTAATGTCCTCATTAGGCCTCATATAGCCGGCCGCGCGGCTCTGGTCACAACCTTTGCTGTTGGGTTCATTCCTTACGACGGAACTGATGGAATCGCCGCTGCGTTGGAACTGGCGGCGGGTATTGGAATGGCTATCGTAAATCATAGGCGCTGCAAGAGGTATTTCAGCATCATGAACGAGAAATCCTTCCATCCCCGTAAATTACACGTGAAGATCATCAGTCCTAAGCGGATAATGAAGATGTTTAACCTCGACAAGAAAGAGACCTTATTGGACACCCTTGCCGAAGAAACTCTCGATTTAAGTAATCAGGAAAGGTGCATTAAGTACATGTCTAAGTGGGCGTGCGAACTGTCATTCGACGACCTCCCTCCTCCAAACGGGCAGACAACCGTGCTTGCTAGAATGGCTGCGTGGGAAGTCAAGCACAAGATTGCGAAAGCCGACAAGCAAGCTAAAATGAGCAGAAAGCGGGCTTGGAAGAGGCATATGAAGGGTAAGAAGCTCAAGGACTGCTGGCTAGAACGTAGTAGGGCTAAATCTCTTGATTTGATTCTGATTCAAAATTTTGATGAGTGGGAAGCGGCGCAGGCCGAGAAGGAGGCCAAAAAGGAGAAGAAGCAGAGCTCTCAGTAACATACCAGTTGTTTAGGTCGACTATTCAGTTTGCCTACTGTTTACGATGTCCATGTTATATATACCCTTTGTTATTTCTATACTTAATGCATATAACACCACCTATACATTCAAGTTTCAAACCACCGCTGACCCCTTGAAAATATGGAGGCCATTACATCTAATTAGAATAATTACCTTAACTGTAGTTAGTTGAAGCCGAATGTTTCATCTATTGCTTTAGTGTAGTAACTACCTCACCTTTTAGCTAGTTAAATTTATTAGAAAAGGGCACGATAAGGATTAAGTAGAAGTCTCCTAGTTATCTATCTCTCGTGGACCTTGACACCAAAGGATTTATTATCAATAGAGAAAACGGACATAGAACCTTAATTTACTAAAGGTGCCTACATTCTTCTATGTTAGCTTATGACCCAGTCGTAGACTTAATCCAGTACGCTAGAATCGGGTAGTGATAGGGGAGGTCTATTACTAGAAATTTAATGGACAACGAGGACAGCTCATTTACTTCATGCCAGAAAGAACATCGACTCAGAGAACCTGTAACTAGATGAAATTCAACGTCATCATTATATTACACATCGAAGAATGAAGAATTGAGATACTATTCCAGTACATATAAATAGGCGTGTGGATGTATGTGCAATTTGGATCATGGCTATCATACTGGCACCGATCATACTAGCAGGTCCAAGATCAAGCCAAGTTTCTATGAATGACTTTCTCGGTGTAAAGACCAAGTGCCGCTTAATAAATTTGAAAGTGTGCTAAGTGTTTGGAAGCACGAGTTTGATTAAGGCCCGTCATAATTATCCAGCAAAAGCAAACCGACTTGATTGCCATATTAATTTTAATTACTCCTTACCTTGTGCAATTTGAGGCGAGGGAGTGGTAAATACCGTACTTGGGTCATTACGAGACATATTTATACCGAAACTTACATTAGCCTTATATATCTAAAACTCATGTCAGCGCACATATTCAAGCTGTGTCCGATGTTTTCTTACCGTAAGGCTGGGTAAATGTCTCTGAGTTTAGTTCCTGTACCGAAGTACCTTCTAGTTTAGGCGTGTTCCATCTCGGTGTCTCGATGCTCGGCCAAGAGTGGGGCCACGTTTGAGCGGGCTACGGCCACTAATTCGAATTGATTCAACGATCTGAAACCGCCCCAAGACTAGCTTCGACCCTAAGCCTATCGTTTGCACTCCAGCGTCTCGGGATTTCTCTCTGCAAGATGGCTGGCTTGCAGGAACGACGGCAGAACTGACGTATGATGCAAGCCCGCCACCGATTATCTGAGATTCACCGAAAGGATTCTGCAAGGATCATTCTATCATTATGCTTTTTTTCGTCGTGTTAGCCACAGGTTTTCATCGAGGTGCCCATTAGATCTAATCGCAATTAAATATTCTAGAGTTTTTCTTCTCGAATGGCTGGCTGTGACAGTAATACTCAAGCGCGCCTGGGGCATTAACGACCAATGGGCAAATTACTAGTAGGTGGATTCTCTAGGGCAATGGATCGCCAATACATACATAGGTAGGTATCTACATTGCATATGTAGGTGGTCAAACTACTTCGTAAATAGTACTACATCACCTTTCGAACTGCGTAGAAGATTACTATTCTGAGGATTCTTGGGTAGCACTCAATAAAGCGCTGTCTCATCGCGCCACACAACGTGGGAAATGCTAAAATTTCCGGTCGATCTTCAACGTTCATTATGCACTCATTCGCTTGGCTTAACCATTGCATTAGGTACTCTTACGGGGTTCCGAGTCTACCTAGTTGAAAATTTGCTTGCCAACCCAGACGGCTGGTTCGTACGACAGAGTGTGCTATTCAGGTCCCTTGTTTGAGACGAAAAGAGAGTTGCGTACGACAAACTTATATCGTACGTAGGAGTCTTACTGGTCGGCCGCTCTTTATTTAGCCGTATTACGTACGGCCACCCTCTTATATATGTATTTGTGACGTCTTTCTATTTATGTTTGAATGGTTGGCTGTGTGGTCTCTCTCGCTCTATTCTGCCTTGTGTGATGCCGACTCGACAAAGTTGCGCGCGGGACTTTACAGTACGTACCCAATAGAACGATCAAAACAACTTAGACCGGGATGGCGGACGTTGAACTGTCTGCAAGTAACGACGCTAGTGTTTCTGATTGGTGAAGCTTCCCCTAATGGTTTGCTGATTGGTTCGAGATCTTAGCTTAAAGCAGGGGTCTTAGACTCACGTACAGGGGTTCAGGGATCTTCTACCCATTAGTCGTTTGAATCTTCCTACGAATTATGCTCTCTGGATAAATGCCAACCGCTTCAGGAATATAGCCGTCGTCGAAATCGCTGATCGATGTTACGTCAACTATTGCCATGACAAGCGCTGTCGAAGAGTGATTTTTATACCTAATCCCTTAAATTTGGGGTCCCACTTGTATATATGCTATGTAAATGAGTTATGCATCTGCTTATATACTTTGTAAATACCTAGGCGACTACTAGGATGATGTTCGTATGTGAATCGTTGTCGGTAGGGGTTTTTAGAATGAGGTTTTTAGATTCGGCGGTTATTACTGGGGTTTCCATGCTTGTCCGTGGGTCCGGAGTCTCGTTAAAGATGCGATGCACCGACTTTTCTAGTGCTTCTGGTGCCATGGTGAAGCTTTTTCAGTTAAGCCCGACCCCCTTTTCTCCATAATTTTGGCTAGGTAGACGATATGAGCTAATGCCAGGCACGAGCCGGACCTCAAGCAAGGTATCTCGATTAGATGGAACTAAACGGACAGAACGGGGAGTCGCGATTGACAGCAGTCACTTCCGTTCTCTCTTTCTGTCTCTCATTAGAGTTGTTCTTTCTTTTCGAGTTTCTTCTTCTGTCTTGTGCAACTTGGGATTGCTTGTTCAATCGCATTTTCTGTCCGCCTTGACTGGTCGACCGGAAACTCCGCCTACTTCAAACCTTTGTTCAGCCACCTTCAACGAATATCACAACTCACGACCAAGTGTCGTCTGGTCTCACAGCGCACTAGTTGTTGTAATTGTCTGTTTGACGCTCTTTTTTTGCTACTTCTAATTCTCTACTCTCGTTTTCTTCTT